CTCCCCTGAAAAAGACATCACCTGAATGGCAGCACATGTTGCTCCAAAACCTGTATATATCATTCAGCATTATTAGTGTCTTCACAGGTGTGCAAGTTACCCATGCCATGTGCACTTATGACTAACCCCCAGACTATCACAGATGCTGGCTTTTGAACTAAGCACCGTTAAAAAGCTAGATGGTCCCTGTTCTCTTTTTCCCAAAGTGTCCATGATTTACAAATAGAATTTCAAATTTTGATCCGTTTGACCACAGGACACTTTTCCACTTCACCTCAGTCCATCTGAAATGCACTCAGGCCCAGAAAAGGCAGCAGCCTTTCTGGATTCTATGGTTTCTTCTCTGCTTGAGAACTTGCATTTATGGATGCAGTGATGAACTGTGTTCATAGACAGTGGTTTTCAGAAGTGTTCCTGAGCCCATGCAGTGATTTCCACTACAGAACTGTATCTGTTTTAATGCAATGCTGCCTGAGGGGCCGAAGACCACGGCCAGCCAATATTGATTTTCGGCATTGTCCCTTGAATAGAGATTTCTCCAGATTCTCTGAATCTTTTAATGATATTGTGTACATTTACATTTTGCACAACATCACAACTTTTTTGGAAACAGGTTTGTAGAAGAAATGCAAAATCATCACTTCAATTATAATATTTCTCAGGTAAACCAAATTCAGTTTTAACAGGGCAGCTTAATCAGTTTGCAAATAAGTGATAACCCCGCTGCTGGTTACCGAATGAATGGCTGTTCTATTCTATCTTGGACCAGGAATCAAGCCTGCGTCCACCTTCCCAGCCAGAAAAAGAACCTAGTGTTTCTGAGAACACCTTCAACCAGACCTAAATCAAATAACACCTCTCCCACGAGCCCCAAGGTGCGATAGCACCATCAGCCAAGCTGCACCGTTCTGGTTTTAACAAGGCTCTCCTCTGCTGGATCTCTCGTGTTCATGCATGTCTACGCTTGCACGTTTCCCTCCGACTCTTGCATCATATCAGATGCCTGTCTTGTGCAAGTTGCACTGAGGAAAGCCTGCTGCTGAGCTTCCTGACCTGTTCGACTCACAGAAGCTTCCCTTCCACTGGCTCAACGCCTCCAGTACATGCTTATCTGTACATCAACAAGGAGACACATCCTAAATTTGCATTATGGTCTTAAGTAACATACTCTCTTAAATAAAATAAGGTTTTAGCAGTTTCTAAGTGGTTTTGAACCATTTAAACTTGGCATAGAACATTTACATTATGGTCTTTAAAAAGGTCCACCTGCACATCTCCTTTACAAAAATCCACAAAGAATCATTTGCTGAAAGGTTCTTCAGAGAACCAAGAGTGGTTCTTCTGTGGCACCTAAAAAATGAATAGGAATGAAACAATGCGAATCCATTAAGTCGTAGAAGAACACTAATTGGACCACCCATAAATTTTAGTTTACATGGCAAGCATGACCTCTTCTGACCTTTTGACCTCATATCCAGTCCATCTGGTGATCTGATCGGAGAATCTACTGGTTCCTAGTTTCTCACCACTGTTACTAGCTAATGTGGGCCAATAGGGTTATTTAACCAGTAGCTTCCAGCACAGTCCCCAAAGGCTGGTGTAATTTCATGATGTTAACTTGCTTGCGCTCTTAATTATCCTTCACTAAAAGAGTTATGTTTTCAGTAAGGACTTTCATAGTAATAAAACAGACACCATAAATTAGAATCACAGAGTCACTGACTGATATTATTCATTGTATTTTTTCATCACTGTCCTTAAAGCCAATTTCTAAGCGTTACTGCCTTGTGATATTTGTAAAAAGGCTGGGAAAAGCTGAATAAAGAAACTGGCAGATTGTGTTAAGATATGTAGGCCCACTCTGGGGACTTTTCTCTCACAGCAGTCCTTGAAACCTTTCTGCAATAATAAGTTAACGAAACTCACCTGTGGATGTGAAGCGTTCGGTTACACGGTACATTTCCACATGAGCCACAGTGAAATTTCAGTTTCAGCTTGTGTGAGTGAGACCTGATATCACAACTGTACATGTTTGAGTTTTCACTGCTTTTCTATGAGCCACACTAACACTTCTCTAAAACTCCTCTCTACATGGCCAGACTCACTTCAGTCTAAAAATGAATACATGCTGCAGGCTGTAGTCTCCCTATTTAGCTGCACTTCAGATGGGTACATAGGCTATAATATGCAAGAAATATTCAGATATTCATGGGAGTGGCTGAGTGTGTGTGTGTGTGTGCGCGTTGTGTGTATAAGTGCTGTACACAAACAGTTTAGATGCACGCTGATGGGCATTATCTGTCAGAGCACAAGCTCAGGCTGACTGCTTTGTAATGGAGTGTGGGTGGAGATTCACTGCTAAATTCAATCACCTCTCTCTCTCTCTCTCTCTGGACTTTCACCATGTTACATGGATAGATCTTAGGCTGACTACAAACCTACGGCCTTAGCTGCACAATTTTGTCCAAGCCATAAATCTTGAGCAAGCACATCACTCACCACTTTAACCTATCAAAATAACGTATATTACACATCTGGCTGTGTCACGTGATTTAGAAATGGCATTTCAGACGTTTATTGAAAGCTGACTGACTTTGTTTCTGAGACGCCAGTAGCACTGATGAAAGACTCAGCCAAGAGAACACAAATAGAGGAAAACAGAATGACTCAGCGGGTTATTTTATCATTTCCATGTTTGTCAATATAGTCTAAAATGTAAACTCTTATTGTCAGTTCCATAGCAATGATCAAATTTAATATAACTGAATTAAACTTAAAAGGCCCATATCATGGAAAAACTTATTTTCTTCACTTTTTGAAAGAAGCAAGTTTGATGTTGTATGTTAACGTTAATTACGTTTTGAAACATACCATTGACTCCCCAGTCCATAAAATCTTATGTAGAACCTAAGTTGCAAAAGCAGCCAATTTTGAAGTCATATTATAATGAATGTTTCAGCCTGGACTGCTTTTTGAACAATGCATGATACAGGGCAGCCAATCAAAACAGAGCTCATTTACATATAGTTTTAAAGTCAGTCTGTTTAATTCTAAGGGATAAAGAGAGATTGTAAACGGTCAAGTACAAATGAAATATGTACTGTTTTTGGTACATAACACCACACAAATATCATAAGGGGACCTCGGCTTTTACATTAGTGCATTGTTTTAGCCCAGTGTATCTCTGTTACTGATACTGAAGCCTCTAAAAGGCTGTTTTCAGTACGAATACACATTCATTATGAAGAACAACTAATATTTCACTATGCAGCATTTCAAGGCTTGTATTCAGATGTTTGTCACTGTATGCCCCCCTCACCACTCAGCCATTTGTTGTTTGCAAACACTCAGAACAAATAATTGATCTTTATTTTAGTAATTGAATCACTTTTGATCACATTAACACTTCACTGCTGTGCCAGGCAAAAATTATACAACTCGCTCCAGCAACGCCCCAAACTTAGTAAGCAGAAAACAGTCAGTGGTCAGGTGTTTTATAGAGGTGTCAGGGTCAATACACTGTTCAGTGTTCAGCACAATGATGTTCAGTGATTAACTAAAGGCTCCAATTTCCTAACTTAAGCAGCAGTTCCACCAATTTAAAAAAATCTGAATAATAAAACGGTTAAGATGTAAATAACATAATTTGGAGTGATTTGATATGAAATGCTTTATTCTAGAGAAACTTACTGAGTCAGAATTGATCGCAGTGGCAGTGATAGGAACCAGACATCTGAAGGGTTTCATACCTCTAAAGCTCCCTGACAGAACACAAAATGGTTACAAACATGCTGCCAATGCCTGAGACATCGTTTTATGATAGTTGAATTTAAAAGCTTTGGCTTAAATCCATTTATGGAGGAGAGGTACACGCAGGGTGTTGTAAAGCAAAATAGTTCCCCAAAAATGTATTTTTTTCCGATTAGCCACTGTTTTACCACTGTAAACATTACATTTCAAAACTTAGAAGACGTGTAGATTCACTGGTCATTTTGGATTGTAAATAAAATGGCTATATCTGCGTAGACATTGTGACCTCCTGGTTCCTATCAACATCACTGTAACGATAACAGTATGTTTCTCTACAATGAAGCATTTAACGTCAAACCACTCTGAATGACTGTTTATAGCCACAGAATTATACAGAAAATATGAAACATTGCTGGAAATCCACTTTAAGCTAATAGCAGCTGTTTAAAGTCGCTGTGCTGCAGGTCGTCAAGTCTCTTTTTGCCCTGCCTTTCACTCATTATCTGCAGACTGTGTGACTGGGTCATGTGAAAAATTCATCGCAGCTTCGCTTTTCAGCTGTTTCATTTTCACCATCGCTGAACTGGCTCGATTCCTAAAAGCAGACTGACGTTTAAACATTGCACATTCATGAGAGTAGAGGTGATGATTTTAGGATTGTCAGCTGGTGAATTTGACACTGGTGATGATGATTTGATTTCTGCTGTTTCAGGCTCTCTGTTGGTGTTGCAGGTTATCAGCACTAGGCTGGTGGCCACACCTTGCTGTGATCCTTCCAGCCATTCTCTGTTCATCCAGTCGGCCACGCTTCGGTGACCGGTTTTGCTAACAAACACAACGTTGTTAAGTCACATCTACAGACTCATTCAGGCTACATTAAGGCAGACGGGGTAAAAATGAACTGAACCGTTCCAGCCATTCTCTTTGTATAAGAAACCCGGCTGTAGGTTATTTAACGGTGCACGAACCGGGATGCTCGCTCTCGCTTTTCGGTCTTGACGTCAGCGAATGTGGAGAATTTTTTTTCTCCACCCGTGTTCCGCAAAGGTGCTTTCGGATTGGCTAGTCCTATCCCTCTTCCTGCGTCTGGATTGGCTGGGCGTTCTTACTAGCTGTGGGGTACCGCTAGCGCTGAACGCCTGTCCAATCACAGAGCGACGAAGGCGGGGGCTTTCCGGGATACGGGTGGGAAAAGAAAGGAAAAAAACAAAAAAGTAACGTGCTCGGCGCGCGCGCTCCCGCTCTCTCTCTCTCTCCTCGCTGACCCTCCATTGTGAGCAGAGCTAAACGATGCTAGCAGCCGTCGCCGTCTTCGCCTCCACCGCCACTGCCGCCGCCCAGTAGAAACAGAGAGAGAGATAGACCCCCTCCCTCCCCTTCACCGCCTTCCTCTGCCCGAGGAACCAGCGCCGCGACCGAGAGAGACGGAGACACGAGCCCGTTTACCGCTCCTTATCTGCCAGGCTGTCGTTCTGCGGGATTTTCTGGTTCTTTTAATGCTCTAGCTAGTCGTCGTCAGGGAGCGAGAGTGAGAGAGCGAGAGAGAGAGCGAGTGAGAGAGAGAACGAGGGAGAGAGAGAGCGAGCTAGGACAAGGATAGGGAAGAAATCCTGAGGTAAAATAAACCACGGAGTGCTTGCTTTTTTCTCGCCCCTCGGAGCTGAAAGAAAGAGCCTGTGGTCCGTCTAGTCATGGGATGTACACTGAGCGCCGAGGAGAGAGCGGCTCTGGACAGGAGCAAAGCCATCGAGAAAAACCTGAAAGAGGACGGAATCACTGCGGCGAAGGATGTGAAATTACTCCTGCTAGGTAGGCTGAATGGCACCGCTCCGCTCGGGGGTGACGAGGCTGAGTTTGGCTTCTCATTCGCCAGATTCTTATTTCGAATTTTCCGTTCCACCTTAAACGGTGCAGCAGCTACGGGGGGCAGAATGTAACTGCTGCACCGTTTAAGGTGGAACGGAAAATTCGAAATAAGAAGCTGATTTCAGCTTCGCGCGGGGATGATGGGAGTGGACCTGCACTCCAGTCAGAGATTAATAATCTCACCTCCGTGCGCCTACATATCTCTGCACGTCATTCCTGTTATATTGTAACCGCTGCAGAACCGTTAGTCTGATATTCCCCTCGTGTCTCTTGTGTTTTACAGGAGCCGGGGAGTCTGGTAAAAGCACCATCGTCAAACAGATGAAGTAAGTGCCATGGTGTAAATGAGATTTCTCGGTTAATGTGTACATGTGTACTCTGATCTTAGCCACACACACACACACACACCGTTTATTGCTTGATGGCGAATGAACGCTAAGGTCCGCCATATTATCGAGGAGTCCCTCGCCTCTCTCTCTTTCTCTTTCTATGAGGGGCTGTAACGTTATCGCGGTCCGGTTTTGAGGGCGTCTGCTCGGCTCGGTTTGGAGAGGAGACGCCTGTGTGGTCGTGCTGTTCGCTAACATGGTGCTGAAGCCGAGCTGCCCTCACCGTGTAGCCTACATCACAAACGGGCCGGGCTCAGTGCCACCTTACACCGCTTTAATAAAAACCCTAACGCCTCTTCCCTCACATTTCTCACACTTATATTATGTATTTATGGCATTTATGCTTCGTGTTTGTGAAGAACAGAGTATAACGCCATGGCTAGGCTGAGCCTCGTCCAGGCATTTAGCACGAAGGCTACTGTAAGGCTGAGATTTTTTCAGAGGCTGCGTTTTAAACGGGCTTTGCGTTTATTCTGGTGAAAATATACGTATTTGTGTATGTGTAGCCTATGTGTGTTACGTCTGGTAGTATACCATGTACATTTTTAGCCTTCTTGTGTGCCTTCAGCATTTAGATGTCCATAATGGTGAACGTCTCTTATAAGGCTGCAGGCTATTCGCATCCATATTCAAGGTGATACAGGCCTTCTTGTGGTGGTGGGCTATGATTGAGCATAGAGAAATGGGGGTGGGGAGGTTGGTGGTGCTGGTGGGGGGGGCGATAGAAATGGTAACACCCTAACTTGTTCACTCGGCCATTTTTATTTTCACGCAGCCGTTACACCCAAACCGAGCAGCTAGCCTGCGTTCACAGTGGACTGGCCCACCCGTTAGACAGAGAAGCCGCTTCGCTCGTGCTCTCCCTCACGGCCTGTTCAGGCTGCGCTGCTGCATTTCTGTGGCGTTTCCCACCCGAGTCCGCCTGCCACGTTTAAAAACTACTGCGCTGTACCGCATCGAGCCGGATGATAAAATAACACATCGTGGCAATTTTTGGTTGTTTCTAGGTTTCTGATCAGTACTGTGGAGGAAAATATTGGGAGAAAAAGCGTCGCCTCTAACGCTCTGCCCTCGAGTCTCGAGTGTTCATATGAACCTGCCATTTTCCACTCGGGTGTGTAGCTCCACAGCTCCGTGTGAAACAGGCGTTTTCGAGCGCTTTAACGCAGCTGGTGTTTCACCCCCCTGTGTCTGTATATGTTTTTCGAGCGGTTCGGCTCTGTTCTGTGGTGGTGCTGCACTGCCTTATGCTCCTTTAGTGGCCGTGAGTATTTCAGGCGCTGTCGGTGGTGGACAGCGCCCAGCAAAGCCCAGTGCTCGGCTCTTTTCGGCTCCTGTCGGCGCTTTTCGGAACTGGTCGGAGAACAGCACGGGGTGGATTTTTAACATCTCTCTCTCTCTCTCTCTCTCTCTCTCTCTCTCTCTCTCTCTCTCTCTCTCTCATTTAATTGTAGCTTTTGGCAAATGCAGGAACCGGCCATCTTCCAAGCAGGTGGCAAGCAGATCCAGACTTTCATGGTGAAATAATAAAATTCACAGTTTCACTGATTTATTCACCAATTACAATAGGCCGAGTGACATTTTTGTAACTGGTCAGAGTGATCAAATGAGTGATCAAGCGATCAGATTAAATTTTGATGTGCTAAGAGACAACGACTGTGCTAGTGAGATAATAAGAGTTTTGGAAAGCAAGGCTGCCACCTCACAGCTACCTAATTGGCTGTTTGGGTGTCTTATGGTTGTGAAGGTGTGCCTGTTTCTTTCTGAAAACGACAGGAGAACATGGACAGCGGTGGAGTGTGTGTGTGCTTAATCATAATTTAGAACCTATATGGACAAACAAACAAGACAGCATGCTGACAGGTTTTGAGACCTGGCTGTACAAAGATCACTGTTGATGGGCGGTAATCATCCATTTTCAACCTCCAGTACTTTTTTTGGACTGCTAGAAGGGCACTACCTCAAAGAGCAGAGCTGTAAAATTGTAGATCCTAAAAAAAGAGATTTTTGTGAAATCATGCGATGCCAGTACCACCACAGAGCTGGATTTCTGGTTGGTTGAGTTACCTTTGGGCTCAATGTTAGCTTGAGTTTGCTAAGCAATGAATGTTGCTATGTAGATGAATTGGTGGGGGTTTTCAGAAACACAGGCAGATAACTGCATTCAGGAACGCTCAGTGCTTTAAGAATTATCAACTCTGCAGACAGTTGACCAGAGAAATGTATCTCTGCTGATCAACTGTCAAATGTAAGTGATTAGATTAGCAGTGAATTCCAAGATAAGTGGCAAGCAGAGGGATTAGGAGGTATATGTTGGTAATTTTGGCATGCTGCAGTTAAAGATAAAACTGTAATATCATGATACTTGGAAGCACTTCCACGATACATAATATTTTTCCACAATATTTTTATTTTTTTGTGAGACATGTAAACAGGTTTTAATTAAAAAAAATCCACCAAATAGACAATAATGCACTGTCTAAATAGGCTATGTAAAACTGTGAGTACGGTAATTATTTTAAAAACGCAGTTATTTGAAGAAGTTTATGCAGTGATTACACACTGGTCGTTTACTTTTACAGGCTTTTTATAACTGATCTAACTCTGACTTATGAAGCATGGAGTTGTTCAATGCTTTAGATGTGCTAGTGGGGTGGGCAGTATGTCAGTATTTATTGCTGGAAAAATTACGTTACAATACATCACAGTATGCTTTTCTGAGCATATCATAGATATCGTCAGTAGTTAAAAAACACTAACTAACTGCATGTTTCATTGCAAAGAGAGGATATTTAGTCCTTTTTAATTAGATTTAGAACAGGATGTGAAACATCGAATAAATGTTGGTTTGGCTTATCAAAGCCAAAAACTTAATATGTAAAACATAAAAAACTAAATATTGCGTGCAATGTATTGATAAATGTGTTGAAGAATTGTGAGATTTTTATTTTTGCCATATTGCCCACCCCTACATACTGACGATAACCACGATATACCCAGATAAGTGATGCAGTTTATCACGATGAACACACATTACCGTAGTGTTTAGGGCTTCTTTGCTTTATGTTTTTCTTTATTTTGCAAATCTGCAAAAGTAAGAATTACTTACATTTCCCACATCCTGTGGTGATGTTTCTGTGGCGTGTTTGTGAGATACAGTGAGTGCTTTTGGTAAACCCTGTGACTACAGTTGGTGTGAGCCTGCGGGAAGCAGTGAGAATGTTTACTTCATTAGCTCATTTTAGGACAAGTGTGTAAGTCTCTCTCTCTCTCTCTCTCTCTCTCTCTGCCTTTTATTTCTTACCTAATGCTCACATTTTTTTCCCTCCCTCACTGTGTGCTTCAGAGAATTGCATCCAGCTCTTATTCCTGGGGGAGTGGGCTGGGAGCGTATGTGTGTGCGTGAGGGATGGAGAGAAATGCGTGTGTGTAAGGTTAGAGAGTGTAAGGTGGGAGCAGAAGAGTTCTGTGGACCCTTGAGAACACGCTCAATGCTCGTTTACCCTGAATGGCAGGGATTTTGCCACGCCAGCTGGGTATGATCCCAAAACACTGTTAAAAAAAAAAATCAGAGGAAAAGTATATTCTTTTCATCTTTACTAGTGTTGCCATGTGAGAACTGTATGTCTGATCAAATAGTCAGATTCCAGTTTAGATCCCTATCTCATAAAGAGTTTAAGCCAATATAGGCTCATTTCTGCTCTCTGATCTGTGTGCCTTGCCTGTGAACTGTAATCCAGGCCTGCTAGATATTTTATCCTTTAAAAGCTGACCTCTGGTGCCCTTCTGGAACAGTGGGCCAGGATTTAAAGTGTTTATTTTCATAAAGTGGCTTCTACAATATGTCCATGTTTTAAACGCACGGTCTGCTCTGCATCAAGCTAATTGAAACAGCTCAGGCTGTGAGGGAAGGGCCCAGCTGTTCAGCTAGCATTCATCTGCAGGCCACTAGATATCTACTCTCTCAACTGGCATTAGGGATAACATGCCATCTTTGGATATTTTGCTATGCAGTACAGTTTTTTTCAGGCTTCCGGATATTGATATCCACATTCTCTTGTGATTGATCAAGTGTGATAGGAGCAGAACCATTTCAGCTACTGAGGAATGAACTTTTCATGTTCAACTAATTATGTAGCCATGGAAATACATGCACTTGTGAGCTTAACCGGACAAAAAGTATGAATGCTTTGAGGTTACTTGGCATGTGAACCTTGAATTATCTTGCTGTGTATGCTTCAGCTGGTATGTAGTAATAACGCACTATAGGGAGAAGAAAAAAATATGATAATGTAAAAATAGCTGCGTTTTCTGGTTCTACGTAACTTGACAGGCTTAAGCTGAGTAAACAAAGCTTGCTAAGACCTCTTCTTCTGTGGCAAAGGTGAGGTACAGTGCCCACCCCCAGCTTTGTCTATTTGAAACTTATTTCTTGACAGATGCTACAGATTGTAGTGTAGCGCAGCAGTGCTCAAACATTCAGCACATCTGACTAGCCAAGATGACCAGAGCAACACATTAATCATGTTTTACTTTCTTAAACTGTTAGAAAAGTAGTTCTTCAAGAGTTCTTTAGTAAAAGGTAATGGTTGTGTATAGAACCATGACAACTCAAAGAAGCATTTAAATCTCTATGATGGAAAACCTGTTGTATGTAGTTCCTTAAAGAACCTTTTAATAATGTTTCTATTAGTGCCAAAAGGGTTCCGGTATTGTTACAGCTCATGGAACCTTTGTTGGTACTATATAGAACACTTTTTGATGAGTGTACATACGTCTTCGTGATAAACTTACTTTGTCTGCTTCCAGGCACTCACCTACTGAAACCAGCATGTGAAGTCTTTCACTAGAAACGTCCTTCATGAAGGAAATATTTTTAGTTGTATTAATCTAAACGTAGTTTGTACATTCTTGTGCAATGTCAGAAAAACATGGTT